GGGGGGGGGGTGGGGGGGGGGGGGGGGGTGATAGACTTCTTCAAACGCACCTTTTAAGCGTCTTCGTTTGTGAAACTTTAAAAATAGAGCGCTCCCTGGCTACGGTGGCAAAATGTTCACCCACTTGGTCCCCCCCTCCTCCCCATTTGAGCGGTGTCAATTATCCAGTGCCTCAGATTTCGATGGGGTAAACCTATAAAAGGTCAGCGGTGACACCCGGGCGATCACTGTGGTCGACTTCCCGACTCGTGTCCCGCATCATCTGTACCGTCCAAAACAAAGACCCCCTCCCCACCCCAAGAGGTGAGTTTGATTCAACAAGATGAAAATAGGAGAAATTGATTTTTTTTAAGGCAGAACATGAAGTTTGGGAGGAAAGATAAGCGTCAGCTGCTTGCAGGAGATGTGGCTCGCTCTGGACACCTACTGCGTTACAAACTCAAATGGGACCATAACGTTGTCCTTCGAAAAGATTTTTAAATTGCTGCATGTTTTTGAAGAAGTCCTGTGAGTTTTTTAAATTTGTTTCATAATGCTTCCTTTGAGTGGAAAATTGCATGGCAGGCCAGATCAATTGATGCGGTAGTCAATTCCTGGGGACCGAAGCTGAATCGACACGGATCAAATCGTCACCCTCTCATCACCATCCGTATTCAATAGACTCAAAAAAGTCTTTGTATATAACCGTCATGTTATGCTTATTTATCAAGCGATCTACTGTTTGCTGCTATAACACCTGACTATCGAATTATTTGATGTTTACATAGCACATGACAATGTGAATTTGTTAGAAGTGGAACATTGATGAATCATGATGTCTCGTTTGCCATATGTGTCCCTGACGATACATTTTCGATTTGAAAACAGCATCTCACAATGGCCCTGCACGGTATACTGCATGATGCTGAGGTCGCTGCAGCCCTGGATGCTTGCAAAGGTGGCAAGAAAACCGCACACACACACGCGCACACACACACACACACACACACACACACAAACTTTTATATGTTAATCATGCTGACGTGACACTTGAAATTCAGACGCCGGAACGTTCGACCACGACAAGTTCTTCAAGACCAGCGGCCTGGCTGGCAAGCCCTTGGACGACTTGAAGAAGGCTTTTGACATCATTGACCAGGACAGGAGTGGTTTCATTGAGGAGGGGGAGCTCAAGTAAGAGAAGGGCCACCAAATACAGGACACACTTTTAACATCATGTGATGCGAGAAACTTGTTCATTTTGAGGACAGTTGAATGCTCTCCTCTGCTGTTTGGTGAACTCACAAATGATTGACAAGTGATGCGAGATATTTCAAACGTCTCAATGAACTTACTGTGGGACGAGTTAGCCAAACTGCATGTCTTTCATGCTTTTAGGTTATCCGTGCTGCTGTTACCGACATCCATGTACAGGTGCACAACCTTTGGTACACTGTAAAGAATGAGTCAAATCATTTAAGCACATTCATCAAAAATTAATATATTTCACCCGTCCCAATTTCAAATCCGCTTATCCTCACAAGGGTCGTGGGCATGCTGGAGCCTATCCCAGCCGACTTTGGGCAGTAGGTGGGGAACAATAACAAACAAACAAAAAAATATCTATAAATAAATACATATATACATATATACATACATAAAAATGTGATGTTCAACAGTGTAGTTTTAAATGTATAAATATTGTTTTTAAATGCAAGAAATACTATATATATATATATATATATATATATATGTGTATGTACACACACACACACACACACACACACGTGTATATACAGTATATGTGTGTGTACACACACACACACACATCTTTCAAAAGTG